TGATGCTGTTCTCTACCTTAAATTGATAACTTCCATATCAAATGAATTGCAAGAGAAAACACAGCAAGAAATGTGATTTACCTTACTGTGTGTATTTGGGATAACTAGCAACTTACTGATACCCCTCTGCACTTCTAGAACCAAATAGTACGTCTGAAAATTTGGAGCCGCTCTCAGTGAGATCAGAGTGCACACAGGTCCTGCCCCACACATGGCTGCAGCTGGTGCTGGGGCATGGCTGCAGGCTCAGGACCAAAGAGGGCTCTTGCCCCTTGTTCAGGGCCAACACCCACAGGAACAGTGCTCATCAGCATGTGCTGGCCTTCAGCTGCTTTGCTGTGCAGGACTGTGCTGAGCTCCAAAGGTGTAAGTGCAGTGCCAGGGTATGAGCTGTGCTGCAGGAGGAAGCGGACTTGGTACCCTGGTGCTGTGCCAGCTGTGGGTGTAGCAGCTTCCTGCACAGGGCAGGAGCAGAGGCTGAATGCAGTGCTGTGCTGGACCGGGTCATCTGCGTCCCCTGTGCGTCACAGCTCAGTCATCATACACTTCTCAGCCTGGTCAAACCAGACACATTGAAACCTGGTGCCTCCTTCCCTCCCTTCCCCCCTCACATCCTAGGTTTTAAGAGGCTTTTTGGTAAAAAGGAGACTTGGTTGTGCCCACCTGTCACCTAACTTGATTTCTTTTGATTGCACTATAAAAAGAAGAGTTCCCCCTGCTTATCACATTTGTACTTTGGTTATAGTGTCAGGCATAGGCAGATTAATTGGTTGTAGCTTTAGCAGAGCTGTCAGGGTATTTAACCCATTGAAGAAAAATTACCTAGGCTGGTGATAAACAGGCTTTAAATGCAGAGCAATTACTTAGTGCTAACAAAGCACCATGACTACACACTTTATCCAAATGCAAAAAGCAAATTCTTATCAGAGGTTCTGTTTGCAGGAGGACACTAAAAGATAACCTTTGTTTGTGCAAATACTTACTTGATAAGATCATCCTAGAAGGAACAGATGAAATTTCTGTCTTGCCTGAAGGTTGTACTTCAGATTACAAAGTATCAAGCAAAAAAGAATAATAATCAGAAACTGAGAATGCTCATTTCTTTCTTTTAGTTGGATCCAAAGTCCTGGATGATGTGTTTCTTTTCTGCTTGCATTGATTGTGTTTATATCTAGGAAATAACAATAAAGCAGTTTAAAGACTTTTAACCAATAGGACTTTGGTTTTCATTGTTCACAGTAGCTGGCAAAGCTAGAGGCTGGTTAGCATTGAACTTGGTTTGTTCATTGCAGGTTAAACCCTGACTGGTAGCCAGGATTTACAGCACAGCAGTCCTGTGACTCACCAGTGGTGAAACTGGTCCGGGAGTTTCCAAGCTGGGAAAGCTTAGGAGGTGCTTTTAGTGGGACATGCACTTGATGCCATTTGCCTCTCAGGGGTCACAGGTCACATTCTGAAGCTGCAGAGGTTTGAGTTTTTATTGTGATGAGTCTTAACGTCTTGCGTTTGACCTCTGTCTGGTTCACTCCAGTTTCTTTTCTGTGTTAAGATTTGACTGAAAGGCCACTGTTTATTGAATGCTCTTAATTGATCAATTTAAAAAAAGAAATCTAGTTAGTTGTATCACATCAATCAAAATATTTACAAAATTGACATATTTTATTTTGCTTTCGAATGACTAATTGGAGATTTCCCATTTGATGTTTATAAAAGACCTTTATATTAAGGGAAAAGTAATATTCAGGCACATTTTGGTCTTTTTGTATCCAGGCCTTGTATTAATCTAAGCATGCTCAAAGCTCCTGATGCAACCTTGTGCAGAAACTAAACACATATTTTCTAGTGAAGTGTTCCTAAGTGACATTATCTTAGCCTGCTCTGGGTCTCTGTGAGATTTTTGGGCGTGGGTGTGATTTTGGGTTGATCTGGATGCCTTGTAGTTCTTTGTCTGGATGCTAATGCCGTGGTGTGGTGTCTGTGTGAGCCCCATCTCACCTGCTGTTCTCTACTGACTTTGGTTTCCTTTGAACAATTTCAGTCGTAGGTGACAGAAGGACAGAGATAGCATAGACACTACTTTCCTACTGGCTGCATGGGAGGAGGCCTCTGTGTTGGGAAGCAAGAGGCTCTGAATTAGTCCTGTGTGCCTCCTACTGAAAAGGACTTTATATCAGCCATGACCTCATTAGGCTCAGAGAACCTGTGCAGGCAAGCAAATGGTTGGAAACTGGCCATCAGTCATTTTCTTGCTCACTGGAGGACTTGATCTGTATGGCTTTCCTGCCCCAACTGATTTGCTTGCATTTTATGAGGGTTTTTTTGAAAATGTGTTTGGGTTTGGTATTTTGGTGCCTGTTATACTCTTGTTCCCCACCCACTACAGGCTGACAAAAACTGGCAATGAACAGATGCATTTTTGGGAGGCGGCTTCACCAGTTACATTCAGGTAGCTGTTGAGCTTTGGGTTTTTCTTTCCAAACAGGACTAATAGGAATTTTCTGGAGAAGAACTTATTTGCAAACATGCAGCACAGCAAGACCTGTTTTTGCAGAGTTGCTCAGCTTGCCACAGGTGTGGTGAAAGCACTTAATTTATATAAGTGTGGGCTGAGCTGCCTCCTTCTAGGCAATTTCAGGGTTTCACAGCCATGGGGCTCTGGTTTCTACCTTTGGTGATGTGAGCAAATGTTGAGGGGAGTGTTTTGCACCTCTGCATTTACTGGGAATCATGCAGGGACTGGCCTGGTTACTTCATGACTTCTGTAAATGCTGTTGCATTCGTGAGCTTTGGCTGCCTGGCTGTTCCTGTGGCCTACCACAGAAAACCAGTGTTAATTGTTCAAGTCAGTAGAAGGACTGCACATCTGGAGCTGCACCAGCCTTACTTACTGAGGGGTTTTTTATGCCTCAGATCCTCTAGCAATGGAAATAATCACACCCCTCCCTTAAGTGCTGAGTATATGTGTGTGTTTATATATAAAAATATATGTATGTATATAAATGTTTTGCATAAAACTGGGAGGGTAATGCCTACTTTTTTTTTTCCTGGAAGGAGATTTGGAAGGGAGGAGGTGTGTGTTGGATACCAGCTCTGCAGAGCTATTGCTGCAAATCAGCATGTTTTAAGGAAGGGGACAGGTATAGGGATTTGTCACCAGGGCCTATGCTGGCTGAGACTTGTCTGACAAAGGAATTTGGTTGATCATGAGTTTGCTTTTCACTTGCACACTTTTGACTAGGAGTTAGAACTTGCAGGAAATAAAATGCCATCCTTGAAGGCAGGGGGAGTGTGATGTTAGTCATCAATACTAGTCATTTACAGTTTTTGCATTATGGACTATTCATGCTATTTCCTGAACAAGAAATGTTTAATTAGCTAATTGTTTTCCTTAGCAGGGCTGTAAGGGTATCAGCAGATAATACAGGTTCTGGCAAAGCCGTTTAGTGCCTGCCTGTATGATAGGGGAGAATGACAGTAAATTTTAATGAAAGAAGTTCTGTCTGAGCTGAAAAAATACTAATGCTTCAAAATGTTGTTCAGAGTTGACTCCTTATCTTTTAGTAAGTCTGCTATGTGCAAATGAGCAATTGCAGTCTGATGTCTGGATTTTGACTGTTTTGCAGTGGTCTTTGACATTGTGCCAAATGTATTCTGAAGGTGTGATGCAGCAGAGCCACTGCAACACAGTCCCCTGAAAAAGGAGCAATAGTAAAACCTACAGAGCTGAAAGGGAAAAATGGCAATGCCCTAGTGAGATTGCAGCTGAGAATTGGGTGGGTGGAGTGGATATGCTTGGTGAGTGAGAAGGAGCAATGGCACAGTCCTGCTCCAGCAGAGTGCCATAAGATGGGTGGTCTGCAGTTGTCAGTGCCTTGCTTGCAAAACTCTTCTCCTCCTGCCCCAGTAAATCTTAAATTTTTTTCAAAAGTACAAAAGGAATTATGAATTGTTTGTACTGCCCACCTTAGCTGCAGTGAGAGGTCCTAGCCCCTTCAGTACATACAGCTTTGAAAAGTATCAGTGTAAGGCTGTTGTTTAAGACAGCTAATGGAATATCAGAAACAGATGTATTTTCATTAATTCTTAGAATCCATGTTCTGTGGAAAGATTGCATTTGGTAGTCTTATTCTCTTGTTCTGTGGTTTAGCTGGTTATGTCGTTACAGCTTCTCTGTGCATCCACACTAAGATGTTCTTTTTCTGTTCCTGACATCTTTATAGCAGATACATACGTTTTCATAAACGTTTTTAGTTAATATCCACTTAAGTTCCAATGTCCTTTTTTTCCCTCTGTGATGTTATATTAACCCAGTTTTTCATTTTACTGCCTATCAGTCTAATTAGGGCATCTCTTCTCTGTTCAGTTTTCTGTAATTTAGCTTTACTTATCAGGTCTGTCAGTACATAAGCAATGGTCTTTCCTGAAACCTTGGCTAATGTAAGGTAAATATTGCTTTCTTAAGTAAGTCATTCCAGAGTCTATACCAATACATAGATTTCTGTATGGAAAGGGGAATTGATATCAGTCAGCTTGATTCTGGAAGAACAGTATCTGCATGGCCTTTTCCCCCAGTATAGTTATTTCAGTTACAAAACCATAAATCACTTGTGAAACGAAGTGTTACAACTTTGTTGCAGACCAGAATCTTGTCTGAGACCATAAGAAATACTTCTAATGTGTTGTTTGCATTATTTATTTTTGTTGCTGCATTAATTGTTTAAAGACTCATCGTTTTTGGTCAGAAAGAGCTTTCAGTGGCTGTTAATGTCTCAGTATATGACCTGACAATATGAGAATGACACTGGCACAGAAATTCCTCTTATTGTGGGACTGTTGTGCCCATGCAGAAAACTGTAAAAATAGGTGGTGCTTAGAGGGTGATATGATTCTAGTTTCCTTTCTCTCTAACATCATTGTCCTGCTGTTACTTGGTGGGGAGAGGAAGCTTAGGCGTTTCCCAGTCAAAAAGGTGTGACATACACCCATTTGTCTCTTTTCAGGATCTTTCCCAGAGAGTATCTTCTTCAACAAATCCATCTTTATTCTCTGGCAGACCTTCAGCAGGTGAGTGTCTTTGGTTTATTCTACCTGTTACACATGGAGCCTATTCTCACCTTCAGAGCTAAATGTACATTTTCCTTCCAAGGGAATTCCTGTATTTCTAAGCTGTGTCTGTGGTTTGTAGTTTGGTATAAAAATGGGTTAACAGTGGCATCTGTTAGGGATGAAAGCCTAGAGCATCAGTGTTCAAATAGGGATGGAAAGAAACTCTGAAAGAAAACTGTAGTCTGTAAAGAGAACTTTGCTCTGAGAAATTTTTCATCTGCTCAATAAATTCTCGTCAGTCTCAGCCCATAGGTGACAAGTAGTATTTATTTCTTTGCTTGAAAGAGTACTTGTTTTGGAATTTTGAAGTTGGTAAAGACCCTAATGCAACATGATTATTTACTAATCTGCTGAGCATTGCCATGAGGAGGGGGCAGGGTGGACCCTAACGCCCACCCCCCTTCCCCAAACCTCAGCCAGCCTACTGCACAGAGCTGAGCCATGCAGTGTTACCATGACAGATGTGACCATGGAAGAGGTAATGTGCCAGCAGAATTTGTCTTTGCATTGTCATTGATTCAACTAAGCAAGAACCTTGAAGTACATTTACCTGAGAAGCAGAATTTTATTGTGTAACAGATTACACAAGAAGAATTTGGAAAAAAGAACTGAAAAAGGGAGACTAGGGAATCTAAGGTGAGTGTGCTGCAATGCTGAGATGCACAGTGGAGGAAGCAATGAGGTGAGGTGTGCTGGCTGACCTGGGCACCTCTGTGTTCACACTAATGCTGCTGCCAGTGGTGTGTAAAACAGTATTTTAAACTTCTTTCACCTGTTTCCCTTCTCTAGTGGTGCCTTTTCTGCAGGATAAGAGTAGCATAGTCAGCTCTGGATGTTCAGCTGACACATTAGGTTGAGGTAGTTCAGATGCCCCTCAGAGCTGGAGACTGCAGAACAACAGGAAACGTGGCTTTTGTTGGTTGGTAAAATCACAGGCTAGAAATGGTTCCATATATAAAATAAAAAGGCCGGTTGCCTGAGGTCTGAAACTGCTTCCACATCTTTTCAGCATGTTCTGCTATCTCATCTTTAATAATCAAGCCATGAAAAAGCGAGCTACTTAACTCCAGAGCTGCAGTCTCCCTGGTGGGCCTGTCTATTAGCCCCCAGTGCTTTGTAAGCTGCTTAATCAGTTCCTAACATTGGTAGTAGATATTTTAGAAGCAAGCAGCAGCTTATCAAGCACCCTGGGGGAGAGAGGGAGGGTAGAAGTCATAATTCATGCATTGATTTAGCACTTTCCTATAACATGTTTCTTTGTGTTTGTGTTTGCAAGACACCTTCTCTTCCCCTGAGGTGCCCAGTCCCAAACTTATCATATTTAGAGGCAACATAATTTGATTATCATTTCTGCTGGGGTGCATTAAATTACATTTGCCTTTTAATCTAGCTATATCCTTGTTGTGAGCATGGAGAGGGTTTTCCACATTTCAGAGGCTCCAAGTTTGAAATCTGGTTGCCTGTTTTTGTTGAAGTGGATCCAGAGTGGAAAAGAGAGGCGAGCCCAATAAGAGAATTACTTCAATGGTCATATAAATACTAATACCCTTAACAGCCCCTCACTCCTGTCTCCTTTGCCCCTTACTGCTGCTTTCTGCCAGTTGCTCATCATTTTCCACTGACCTGCAGTTTGGGTAGTTTTAATCCTGAAAGTTTTTCCTCCTTTTGATTCCTCTGCTACCTATTTCCTCATATCCATGGACTGCTTTTGCACTGTTTCCTGCTGTCATGTAGATTGCATGTGTTTGGGGAATTAACTAAAAGGTTTATTAAAGATTAATGGAAAGATAAGGCATGGTGAGTGAATTAGAAAAGCAGAGAGGGGTAATCTGCAGATATAAGCAACCTTTACCCTGGTTAGTCCCAGCTCAATTCTGATTTGCTTCCTAGCCAAGTTCCCTTTAAAGATCGTAGAAAACATGGTTGTTTCCTACCCAGCAGCTGAGTTTCAAAAATGGGGTTTGAGGGTCTGTTCTTAGTTCAAAAATGTTGAAGTGCCTGTTTGCCAGTAGATGAAGCAGTTTATAATACTACTCTAAAATAAAATCCAATATCAATCTCTTTCCAAGCCTAACAGGGCCTAGATATTATGAGTCTGGCAGAGTAAATACCTGGGCTGTCTGGTGGTCTGGGGATGGTTGTCACTTGGATCCATTTGGATAGGGCTCTAGTGGGGAAGACTTTACTATGAGGTTAAAAGCAGAGTGAAAAAAGTGGCCTTACTTTTGGAAATTTCCCAAATCCTGGTGAGGCAGTGCTTTTTGCTAGCTCTTGTATTGTTAACAAATGCTTGTAGTGCAGGTATGAGTAACCAAAGAGGCAGCAAGTGACAGACTTTATTTGTATGTACACACAAATGCATACATGGACTCCAGAAGGTTTTGCTGCAGCCCAAGGCCTCATGGACTACATTAAAGTTTACAGAAGTCTATCTGTGGCATTCCTGTTTGTAGATGTTTTTAGAATCCTGGTGTCAGCAGACAAGATAACTGATGAGGTGTGTTCAGACTGAATAGGCAGAAACACCAAGTGTGATTTAACAGGCACAAACCCCACAGCTTGCTGTTCTGCCTCATTGGCTGCACTTGTTTGTCTTTGTGACATCTGCCCTGCATTGCCCATAACTCTCTGCATCTCTGTTAGGCAGTTTATCCAGGGTTATTCCAGTCAATTAAAGCTTTCCAGAGGGAGATCTCCTCTTGCTAGGAAGCAAGTATTCACTCCTGAATTTGCTGGTGTTAGCAGACGTAACATACTGGAAAAATGGATTTGTTTTATGGACCACGATGTGCTGTTACAGTCCAGGATATTTTCATCCTAAACCTGCTGGAGGTGTGAACTCTTCTCTGCTGACATTACTGATACTTCTGTGCATATATGGAGAGAGTTCATGCAACAGGAGTTAAAAACTTCCATTTAGATTTTACAGATGTGATTCTGGGGCTGCTTGTATTGAAACTGACAGTTTTTACACTGTTAAATATTGGTTTGCACCAATGTTGACTCAGACAAGTCTTGTATTTCTTATGAAAAGTAATTCTGGCTCCTTACACTACATAACATGTTGATGGGAGCTTTTGAAGTAAAAGACCAGGAGGCACTATTGTGGTGATTTCCTGATTCAGATAGTTCATCCATAGAGAGTTAACTAATGTCTTGCCTTTTCTAATGTTAAATAGCAAGATACACAAGTGCACAAAACTTACTGCAGTGATGCACAGGAATTTCCACCCGAACATGAGGAAGAACTTTACTCTGCAGTTGACCATGCATGGGAACCTGTTGCCACGGGTTGTGGAGTTTTTCCTCTCTGCTGGAGGTATTCAAGAACTGCCTGGACACAGTTCTGTGCCACGTGCTCTGGGGTAACCCTGCTTGAGCAGGGAGGTTGGTCCAGATGACCCACTGTGGGCCCTTTTAGCCTTACACATTTTGTCATTCTCTGATGGTCTTCACTGTAGAAACTCTCTTAATCATGCTAATTATTTCGTCCTGGTTATACCAGCTCTAAAAGATAGAGTAAAATGAAAAGGATCCTCATAAGGGCAAAAATTACTGAATCCAAGGATGGAAATTGTGAGCAAGATGGGAGATTTAAAAAGATAATTTGAAGACTTGTTTATACAGGAACACTCAGGGAAAAATGAGGTGACAAAATATGGGAATTTAAAAAGATGAGTTGAATTACATTAAATCACTGTGTAAATACTGTTATTCAAAATATAAGTGGCTTTCATTTGGTTTATCTCCATTTACTTTGGAAACAAAGTGACATAAATTGCATTAAGGCCATTTTCATTCTGAATGTGTATGTCCATACAGGGATTTAATGTAGTATAATTTGTCCATTTTAACATTGTAGATAAACTAATTTGATGAAATTTAGTTAAAACATTATTGACTTCAGATCTACTTTCCTGACTACCTGTAGATGAACCTACAAATAATGTGAAGAACAGTGCAGAGAAAGGATGAACAGGAGAGCCCTGTTCTCACAATAATATGGCACAGATCACACAGTGAGTATGAGGGATGCATAAAAATCCAATGGAATCCTTAATGGAAATGCTTCTCTGCAAAACACAATGAGTATGAGGAGTTTAATGCCACAATAGTGTCACTGAGGCCAGAAATGTATCATCCTTGAGAGGATTAAGTATCCATAATGAGAATATCCACAGTTACAGTACATAAAATAAAGGGATTATAGGATTTCAGACTAGACATACTATATTGAAGGGATTAGGAAGATGTCTCCCCTACTGACAGATCAATGATTTTAGCTTCCTCTGACGTTTGGAACACTGATTACAGCTCCTGGGAGCATTTTGGGCTTGCTGCATTGTTGGTCTCACAGAAACATTCCTCACTGGGAAATCTTAATGTTTCTGGTCAAGCTTTTCTGCATATAAGGCTTCCTAACAAGAGTGTGGGGAATAAAAATGAGCTTCAATAAAATGAGAGTTCTACCTGATTTGAGCCTAATATACTGTTAGATTAGGATTAGAAAGTTTTAGAAGAGCAAGGAAATCATTAAATCTCTTTCACTCCTCCAGGCTTTTTACCCACGCTGTACTTTCATTGCACCTCCTAGACAAAAGTGAAGGAGTAGATCAGAGATGCTCTTTCTGCTATTTTTATACACGCAAAGCTTTGGGTTGATTTAGACAAGTTGTTTCATCAGTCCCAACAATAGCAAAGAATGCAAGATGTGGACTTCTTTTGCCTTTTACTTGATTTTTTTTTAGAAGAAAACTTCTTTTCTGGTAACTCAGTCCTCATATCATGGCTGATTGATGCTTAGTGTAGATAGGTAACATACAGCCTGATGAATTCCAAGCCCATCAGTGGCGGTGTCCCTCCCAGCAGTTCCTTTTTATTGATACAGTAAAAGGATGGGATGTAGCATCTAACCCACACAGAGGCTGTGCATGTGGCTGTATTGATTGAAAAAAATG